AGAGGGTTAAACCTGGCTGCTTCTTAGAGGAAAGGATTCTGAAACTTCGTCTGACATACTTTGGTCATGTTGTAAGGAGGGACAGGTCCTTGGAGAGGGATATCATGCTTGGGAGAGTGGAGGGCAGGCGCAGAAGTGGAAGGCCCTCTGTGAGGTAGATTGATTGAGTGACTGGGGCAATCGGGATGAATGTGTCAGAGACAATGAGATTGGCATGACAGAGCAGAGTTTAGAGCTGTTGTACATAGGGTTGCTATGAGTTGCAAGCGACTTGACAGTTTTGTAAACGCAAAATGTCTTCTACTGAGTTAGTTAAGTAAGTACATAGTCGGAGCCCTTGTGGTTAAAGGGTTAAGTTCTCAGATACCAACTGAAAATCAGCAGTTCAAATTTATCAGCCCCTCCATTGGAGAAAGATGCGGGAGTCTGTTGTCATAAAGATTAAAAAAAAAACCAAACAAACAAAAAAAAACCAAAAAAAAAAAACCAAACAAACCAAACTCGCTGCATAGAGCCAATTCTAAATTTCGTCACCAGTTGCTGATGGATGCCAGCTGCTGAGTTTTTAGTCAGTATTAGCTCAGCACTTAAGCATTACATCAGCATGGCTTCTTAACATAAAGATTACAGCCTTGGAAACCTTATGGGGCAGCTCTTAATCCTGTGGGGTTGTTTTGCATTGGAATAGACTCCTGATGTAGAGCTCTGGGGGCCTAGTGGGTAAGGAGTTGCTCTGCCCACTCCAGTGCATGCATTTCAAATACACTGATTGCTCTACTAGAGAAAGATGGACAATCTCCTCCTGTGAGACTTACAGCCTCTGAAAGCTCCTGGAGGGTCAGTTATGGGTTAGGTCAGGTCAGACTCCAGCTCACATAACAATAACAGAGGCTGATGTGAGAACTCTGGTGGCACAGTCTCTGTTGAGTTGTGCTAACACAATAACTTCATATTTCTTTTGGTTTGGGTTTACAGCACTAACAGCGACAAGTGGCAGTGGTTTTGATATTGTGTTTTCTTACCAGTGGAATGCTTTCTTGTCAGTCCAGTATTTGGATGGTTGGAAACTCAAATTCAATCTCATCTTTGCTATCTTGCCTTTTTTTTTGCTCCAGCTTTCCTATAACATCCAACACACCAAGTTGCATTTCAAATTCATGTTCTTAGAACACTAGGATAAGTCTTGGCCGAGCTGTGGTTGGTAGGCTACTTACTAACCAGCAATGTCAGCTGGTTGGAACCTACAAATTACTTTTCCTATAGGGTGTCTTTGAGTTGGAATCAATTTGAATCACACAACACTGGCTGTAATTGTTGTTGCTGGGTGCCCTTAAGTCAACTATGACTCTATGAACTACAGCTCCATAACTTGCAAGATACTGCATCATCCTCACAATTTCCAACAAGCTAAAATAAAACTCATTGTCACAGTCACTGAGTTAATCTGTCTCATTGAGTTTTCCTCTCTTTTGCTGACCTTCTACTTTCCCCAGCATAATCCCCCCCGAAAAAAAGGACTAGTGCCCCTTACAACATGCCTAGATGTATATGAGATGATATTTCACCATTCTAGCTTCCAAAAGGCACCCCAGTTGCCCTTTCTCCAAGATCGTTAGCTGCAGTAGAATCCACAATCTTTCTTTACTCACCTGCCCGACTGGCTAGTAAAAATGAACTGGGCACACTTCTTTTTCAGAAGCTTTTAAGAATGAGTCTTCAATGGGAAGATGTCACTAGCTATCTACTAAAGCCAGAAATACTTTTATGAAAGGGTAAGCGGGACAGGGCAACGCCAAGTGTAGGTGCGTTTTGTCTGTCGCTATTAAAGGCGCGAGAAAGGCTTTCATGTCAGGGCGCAGGACGTGCGGGACACCTTTCTAGAAGTGGTTCGTACAATTAGCCAGGCTGGTACCTTGTCTGCAGAGCGCAATTCACACCGCCAGTGGTAAATCACCACAGGGGTTAGCTGTCCGTGCCCCCCGCCCAGGCCCGCGGGACCAGCTCCCGCCCGCGCGCGCTCCCGAGGGGCGGGGGCGGGGCTATCGGCGGCCGGGGGCGCCCGCTCCTCCCCCTCGGAGCGACCGGCTGGCGGCACCGAGCCCCCTGCGCGCGGCACATGGGGCGCCTGACGGAGGAGGCGGCAGCCGGCAGCGGCGCTTCAGCTGCGCGCTCGGCCGGGCCCCCTCCCACTCCCCTTCCCCTCTCTTCCACCTCCCCCGGGTGCGCGGCCACCATGGCGTCCAGCGAGGAGGACGGCACCAACGGCGGCGCCTCAGAGGCCAGTGAGGAGAGGGAGGTCACCGGCAAGAGGAGGCGTCTCGGTTTCTTGGCTACTACTTGGCTCATCCTTTACAACATCGCCATGACTGCGGGGTACGTGCACCCCTAAAGTCCCACACCACACTCAGGCCCTTCCAGCTCCGCTGTCTCCCATATTGCAGACTGGGAGAGGGGGCTCGGCGGCGGGGAGCGCCGGGCTCAGGAGGGGCGCACGAGGCAGGGCGCACAGGGGCGCGCATGGGGCCGGGCAGTGAGGCCGGGGGGGCACAGGCTGCGGCCGTGGGGGAGGGGTGCGGGCGGCGGCGGGGTGAATGGGCGGGCGGGGGGGCGGGCGGGCCGCTCGCTGGGCATTGCCTAATACGGTGCACGGCGTGGCGCGGCGGCCGCGGGGCGCAGGCCGGAGGTTAAGTATAGACCCGGGCAGGAATGCGGGGCCGACCCGCCGGGGAGGCGGCCTCGCCGGGCGCCCCGGGCCTCGCTGCCTCCGGCTGCAGCTGAAGAAACGCCTGGGTCCGGCCTCTGAGCCCCCAGCTGTCCGGCCAGTGGCTCAAATCTGTTTCCCAGCCTCCTGCACTGGGAGTTTCCTTTCCTCTTACGGCAGATTTGCTGGCTGAATTTACCTGATTATTAATTTCACCGCCCTTTTTGAAAAAAGAAGCAATGGTAGATCCCAAGCTTCTTATTTGGGACAGTTTTTAGAGAACTTTACCTTGTCAGAGCTTGGCGCTGGTGTCCAGCATCTTAACTGACACATGCTCCATTACAGATATCGTGTACTTATGTTTCTGGCTTTGAATATGCCTTACAAGTTAAGGTTACACAATGACTATCGCTCTTCAAAGAGCTGTCAAAGTGACTTCTGTGTCAACTGCTTTTTGGAACCTTGGGGGAAATGTACTGCCTTCTCTAAGTGGCACTGCATTTTAAAAGAGTTGTTGTCGTTGGCGCGCGATATGTTATTAATCTGTACAAACATATTTCAACCACCAAAAGAAAAAGAACTTTTGGAAAAGAATGCAATTGAGGCGTCACAGATCGTTTTTGTTTTACGATTTAAAAATTTCCTGAGGGCTTACAGGAAAAATATGATTGACAAAAATGTAATCAATGATGTGACACAGTGTGTGAGTATTGTGGGAGAAGATGGCCCATTTTTCTCTTGGAGCAGCTGGTAGATTAGGACTACCTGTCTTTGAACTGACTGGCTTAACTCCTTGTCCCCTAGCCCACCAGAGCGTCATTTCAAGATGGTGGTGAGTTTGATTAGCAGCCCAGCACTTAACCTGTTACACTACCAGGACTATGTATGTATGTATGGTTGGTTTTTTTTAGGTACCATCAAGTTTAATACGAATCATAGCAATCCACTGAACACCAAGCCAGAACAGAACTCCAGCCTATCCTGTGCCATCTTCATCATCTCTGACACATTTGAAGCCATTGCTGTAGTCATTGTGTCAATCCATCTTGCTGGGAATCTTCTGCCTTTTGTTAACCCTCTGTCTTTTCAAGTATAATGTCCCCTTTCCAAGGAATAGCCTCTTCTAGCACCATGCTCAATGTATAAGAGATGAAGCTTCGCCATGCTGGCTTCAAAGGAACTCTGGCTGGCTGCACTTTTCTCAAGTCATATCTGTGGTCTAAAGAGTTTATGGTTCAAAATGGCTTTCCTAGCCATTGAATTTGACTGCCTTGTGGATGGCCAGGAATATGCTATTAGAGGGATGTTAGCCTATTCACAATAGGATTGGCTAGTCTAACCATTAAATTGAGTGGATCCAGCAGCAGGAAGAAGAACCTCATCACTAGAAAAGAGCAAGCAAGAGAATGCAACTAGTCCTTCAGGACCAGAGCAACAGCCGTAGCACCTGAAACAGAGGACCAGAGATCCAACATAAGATGAAGCAGACCCTTGGGACTGCTACTCCCAGTGGAACCAGAGACAAGAGCCTTTGCCCAAGTTTGTTGAATAACTGGAGGAATGGTGCAGTGGGGTAGTGTTGGTGGGTGGTGTGAGAGCTGTAATTGGCAGAACACAGAACTTTGTGACACTGGTGTAAACCCAAGAGGCTCAAAGCTGAGGTTCCTACAAGAACATTTCAGCAGCTGTCACTAAGTGACAATATTCTGCTGTTAACCTGGATTATAACCTCTTGACTTACCCAGTATGGCTCAATGTAGTGTATGAACTATCATGTTGGATTTTGGACCCAGGAAAGCAGTGAGAGATTTGTGTTGAGATGAGTAGAAAGAGGTTCAGGAACGTGGGGACATATTTGACCTCATGGGAATTGATTTTGTGTTGTTGATGCTGTTGACAGGGACATTTCCCCTTTGTGAAGATGGTAGAATGCAGATATGGCTGTCCTCATGCTGCGCTTGTTCTTTTTACATTGTTCTTTTGGAAGTCCATGGGATATTTAGTATTATTCTCCAACATTACAACTCAGAGGCATCAATTCTTCTCTCCGCCTTATTCATTGTCTAACTAACTCTCAGATACATAGCAGAAAATTGAAAAGACCATGACTTGAATCAGGTGCACCTTAGTCTCAAACTGAGATCTTTGCTCTTTCATATTTTAGAGAGGTCCCTGAGAGCAGACTTGCCCAATGCAGTGTGTCTCTTGATATCCTGACTGCTGGTACCAGTCAGGAGATTAACTGGTTGATTGTTGATCCAAGCAAGATGACAACTTCAGTCCTTTCTCTGCCTCTCATGATGTTACATTTTGAGCCAGTGGTGAGGATATTTTTTTTTTCTTGAGGTTAAGTTGTGATCTCACTCTCTTCTTTGTGTTTTCAAGCTTTATTTATACCATTTTTACCCTCTCCTAGCAACTTACTGCTCACCCTGGACTTGCCCTAACTTTATTTTTTGCTAAATACTCTGCCTTTATTAGCAAGAAACCTTCTATTTCCCCCTTTTATTCTAAGACAAGGGTTATGAAAATGGAACAATCCAAGTAGCTAACTCTTTGGAAGCTTTCTAGGGGAATTGGGATTCAAGAAAAGGTTTGAATTTGCACATAAAGAGTGAATTTCAAGTGAAGTAAATTCTAGAAAATTGTTGTTGTTGTTGTTGATTGCCATCAAGGCTAGCATGACTCATAGAGACCCCATGAACAAAAGGTCTGAAGCCCTTCCACAATCATTGCCATTTATCAAAGTTCACAGAGTTTCCAGACGCATGCTGTTTAGGAAGCAGATGCCACTCCTGGAGATACAAATAAACCTGGTGTATTCTTCATGATTTATATTCGGTGTTATTAGGGACAAAATATTAAATATTTTAAGAGACTGTATGTTGAAATTGAAACAAGTGTATGTATACACTTAGCGAAATGTACTACAAAGGATTAGCTGGGATACTTTTTGCATATTCCTAAATTTAATCTGCTTATTTCACTGGATTTTGGAGTATTTTTAAATGGTTTTGAAAACAGAAAAATCATAATTAAAAAAACATCATAAATATAAAGGAAAATAACCCACTTTGTCTAATTGTTTAGACGTAAGCACTTTTCCCACCTCTAAGATAACTTATTTTAAAAAAATTATTTTATATTGGTTTGCTTACAAAGTTTGGATACATTGTGTTTCACACTATCCTTCATTCACATTAAGTATAACTTTTTAAGGATAGGAATGGTTAAGCACTCAACTGATAATCTCCCCAAAAAGTCAGTGGTTCAGACTTACCAGACTTACCAGCCACAGCAGAAGGAACTCCTCCCACGTTTCGACTTGAAAACATAATTCAGTCCTGTGAGGATTACTGTAAATTTGACTTTGAACTGACTAGAGGCATGAACTAAACTTTTTATTTTATTTCTTACTGTGTTTCCTATTTGTATCTAACTTCTTTCTGACTTTCACTCAAATCTGCATTCCTAGTAGACGTTTCCTTGGCCGTCTTTATTCAAATTGCATTCCCACACTGCTGATCCACCTTGGCTCCGACTATTTATTCAGGGGCCTCGTGGTATAGTGTTTTATGTATTGTGCTGCTAACAGAAATGTTGGTAGATTGAGTCCACCAACCACACTGCAAGAGAAATGAATAGTCTCCTGTGGTAAAGATTTATGGACTCAGAAACTTGATGGAGGGTGGCTTTGAGTCAGAACTGACTCGAGCACTGTGGATTGTTTGGTTTTTTTAAAAGCCATTTATTGTCATCTAAGTGTAACACATTTTATTAATTTGTATTGTTTTATTGCCTGCATTAGAATATAAGGTCCATGGAACAATGTTTGTTGAATGAGTGAAAGAAAAACACATATATCACAGCATATAGTTACACTATCTACTTTATTACAGATTCTAACTTTATTTAATAGTCTTTCAAGCATTTTTAATACTTTTTACAACTTTACTTTCTCTAAGTTATATTCTATGGAATTTATGTTCACTGATGAAATCATGAGTAGTCAGAACAGAGCAGGGAAACACTGCATGGTTCAGGATCAGGAAAAGTGTGCATCTAGGATACATCCTATTTCCCTATCTTTTCAATATATATACAGAACAGATTATCAGGATTGGAGGAAGACTCATCAACCCGTGTTAATGCAGATGACACAGACTTGCTTGCTGAAACTGAGGAGGACCGAAGACATTTACTGCAGAAGGCCAAAGACTGTAGTCTTATATGGATTGAAGCGCAACATCAAGAAAACAAATATTCTCACCGTTAGGCTAATTGGCAGCTTCACAATAGATAGAGAAGAGATTGAGATTGTTAACAACTTCAGCTTGCTTGGTTCCACAGTCAACACTTGTGGTACCAGCAGTGGGAAATCAAAAGACTAATTGCATTGGGAAAATCTGCTGTCAGGGACCTCTCAAGATGATTGAAGAGCAAAGATGTCAGTCTAGAGACTGAGAAATGCCTGATCCAGGCAATGATCTTTGCAAGTACTTGCTGTGCATCAGAGAGCTGGAAAATCACTAAGGATGATAAAAGAATTACTGATGTCTTTGGTTTGTGGTTCTGAAAAAAAGTGTTGAACATACTGTGGACTGCCAGGAGAACAAACAGGTAGTCCTAGAGAGGGTGAAACCAAGCTGCTCCCTGGAGGCAAGGATTTTGA